GTTGGATTTGTAGGTGTTTGCAATCTTTAGATAAGCTATCTAGCTGATCTCCAGCTACCTGAAGTAGTCTCAGCCTGCTACTTCTCCGCCATCTTGACTCCTCCATCCAGCAACCCTCTTTTTACCACATTATTCCTATCTGCAGTGTTTCCTAATAGCGGGCTGTTCTACTCATTCAGCAAAGCAAATTTCCCTTTATAAAATTTGTTGAGTCTCTCTTCTGAAGAAGCATTATAGTTCTTTTACCAAAGTCCCAAATTAAGACATCTGGGAAATTTGGCAACATAAATACAAATTTATCCTGGCCAAAGTGAATAACAAAAAGAAGAAAAATTCATTAAATTGAAACTAAGACATTTTTACCCTAAACTCAAAGAAAATCTGCTACATATGACAAAATGAAGTAGTTTGAAAGAAGATTCCAGAAGCTGATTCACAGTTCCATTTCCTAAAAGAAAGGAAGAGTATTTAAAAAGCCGGTAGAAGATATTCTGAAAATACTTCTATTAATCCCACCAGCACACATGCTCAAAGGCAAGGGGCTTGTTATTAATGATGGGTCACAGAAAGATGGAAAAATCTCCCCTTAGGTCTCACTTTCCTCTTTGCAAATAGTCTAAATCTGTATTAGCAGTGTTTTGAGAGAAATGTAATGATCATACCTAGCTCTTTCTTTGGCTTCCTAGTATTGCTTTGAATGTACTCAGTTAGAGGGAAAACCTCCTAACTTAGATAAGCAAGGTCTTGAAAGGAGGGTTGACAACGGAAGAGATAAGATACAATTTCCTAGGAATAGTCTTTGCAAGTATGAGTAATAGCCACAAGGATAAATGTGTAAAGAAAAACATATGATCCCATAAAACAGCCCAAGAGCTATGAGGCCTTTCTTTGACTAAATGCCTCCTCAAACTGAATTGCTTACTCCAAGACAGAGGTGAAGAACTCTAACCCATGTGGCACTTCACACATAGATGGACAGAATATACACCACCATCACCACCAAATCAGAGTCATGAAGAGGTTTCACAGAACATACAGTTCACAGAAACAAATTTCCCCATAATGATTCAGGGCTCCAGCTCCCTTGCCAGCTTTCTTAAGCAGCTGAATGCCTGAACTCATAACATAAGGTAACACCAGGATTTGCCCATTAATTTCTAAGGTGAGAATTTAACAGTATCCAGATAAACAAGGAGAGTGTCCAAAAATTTCCCTCTATTATTTTTGGACTAGTACCAAGCCTGGTTTTAAGTGTCCTGATTCAAAAGTGAGTAGATGGAAAAACAAGAACATGGGATTCTTAAAATATCCTGTAGCAAATAAAGGAGATAATTTAAAAGAGAGCTAATGGTCACATTCTGACGGAAATTGTACCCCATGAAACAGGAGGAAATTTAGAGAATACTTGTTTTATATGCTCAAGAGATTAAAGAATGTGAGGATTCTGTGAAACAAGATTCGAAGATATAAAAGATAATTGCCAAAAATGAAATGGTGCTGTCAGAGCTAAAAATATTTTTAAGGTAATTCACAACCTAAAATTATGTTAAAAGAGTGAAGAGTAGAATAAACATTGGAGTAAACCAAATCAAAGATCTGAAGGACAGGTTTAGGAAAAACACATAGAATGCAATGTGAAGGGACAGTACTATGACTGGATTAGAAAAGATAGTTTACTGAGGGAACAAAATAGGTATCCAAACCTGAAATAACCAGTGTGTTTGAAAGAGAAAACAGAACAAAGGGAATAAGTTTGCTGAAAAAGAGCATAGGAAAACTATCTTGAAATAATGGAAGTTCTCAATATCTTGATTTTGTTGATGCTTACATGACTATATTTGTCAGAATTCATCAAAATATACATGTAAAATACATACATTTAATTGTATGCAAATTACACTTCCATAAGTTAGGTTAAAAAAGAAAGCAAGAGACTAACACTGCCAAAGTCTAAAACACCAAAAATAGGATAATCTAGGGGTACCTGGGTGGCTCAGTCGGTTAAGTGTCCAACTCTTGGTTTTGCCTCAGATCATGATCTCAGGGTCATAGGATCCAGCCCTGTGTAGGACTCTGTCTGTACTCAGCAAAGACTCTGCTTGACGTTCTCTCTCTCTCCTTCTGCCAGTGCCCCACCTCCCCGCTTGCACTCTAGTGCACTCTCTTTCTCTAAATAAAATCTTTTTTTAAAAAAAAGATTTTATTTATTTATTTGACAGAGATCACAAGTAGGCAGAGAGGCAGGCAGAGAGAGGAAGGGAAGCAGGCTCCCCGCTGAGCAGAGAGCCCGATGTGGGGCTCGATCCCAGGACCCTGAGATCATGACCTGAGCCGAAGGCAGAGGCTTAACCCACTGAGCCACCCAGGCACCCCTCTAAATAAAATCTTTAAAAAATAATCTACTATATCTAAAATGATCTGGAGATTATTAAATAATAATCTAAAACAACCTGGGAAAAGAGTTGTATAAATGCAATAAATATTAATGCTTCATTTAAAATACAAAATAGGGTTAGTTTTAAAGTCAATGATAGTTAAACATATAACATAATTTATCAAATTCTGTGCTTCTCTCTGTGCATTCTTAGTGAATTCCTTGGTGTTTTCTTCCAGCCCATTAATTCTCACTTTTGTTATGTAATCTAGAGTTACATTATTTATTTTCAAGATTTCCAAGTTTTTTTATATTGAATTTTTCCTTCTCCAGACTGTTTTCATTTCACAATATCTTGTTTTTTTAATCTGAATATTTTTCATTCATATTTTTAAAGTTCCTAAACATACCACATTTTGTCAAATCTAAGATGTCAACAGTTGACACTATCGAACTATGACATGATGCTAATATACACCTTAGAATTTTAAAGTTGTTTTTAGATTCTTTTATTTAATTTTATTACTGAATTTATCTTCTACTTGTTAACTTTGTTGACTTTCTTAGCTTTATTGTTTTCCATGTGTTGTAAAATTTTAGAAGTTTCTCTCTTTGCTTTCAATTACTCACTTCACCTTATTCCTTCCTTTCAGAACTTTTGCAGTTGCTGCCACTCAGACTTCATGGCCCTCAGGCTGACCCAGATTTTAGAGTTGTGAATGGAACTCCCCTGCCAGGGAAATACTGGAGATATGGCAGATCCAGTTATCATGCGCTGAAGTGGTTTAACTTAGTTCCTGGTTACTGAGTTGGCCCTGGGAAGAAGTGATTTTTCACAAGCCAGGGAACCTCAACCCAGCCCCTTATTTCTATCAGTGGACCTGTCTCTCCTACTTGCCCTTCCCATTTCTGTAAATGGTTTTAGCTGAGGCTAAAACCTAGGAATCATTCTTGATTTCTCTATTTTCCATATCCATCCATGAGTCAGTATAGTTGGATCAACCTCCAAAATATAACGTGAAGCTGGCCATTACCCAGATATCCTCTGCTACAGTCCTTGTCTAATCCACCAACATGTCTCATCTAGACCACAGCAATAGCCTTCTAACTGGTCACTCCATTGCTACTATTGCTATCCACATTCCTCCATGCCTCCAGACTGTCCATCTTAGAGCAGGCAGAATGATGTTCCTAAAGCATAAATCAAACTTCTTTCTTACTCTGCTTAAAACCCTCTAAATGATCTCTGTTATAACCAGATTAATGTCCTAAGTTTTCTGTATGGCTCATGTGCCTCTATATGATTTGGCCCCTGCTACCTATCTCATCTCATCTTTTTCCACTCCCCCACTCATTCACTACACTCCAGCAATATTGGCCTTTCAGTTCCTTCACCATTCCCAACTGATTTCACGCTGTGATCTTCATGCTTGCTGTTTCCTCTGCCTAGTAGTCTGTTTTCCCAAAGCTTCACCTGTTGCCTCTTTTCTCAGACTTGAACTCAAGTATCTCCTCCTAAGAGAGGCCTCTATAGCCACCATAGGTGAGGTGCCATGTTTATTTATTTTCATAATACTTACAATTGGTTGGAATTATTTTATGTATTTATTTGTTGGTTTATTTGCTTGTTTGTTGACTTGTGTTGGAATAGGGCTTCTGTGGTAACCTGTTATACTGAAATATTGACCTTCAGCCTTCAAGACTGCTGTGCTGGCCTTATGTCAGTCTGGCCACAAAGTGTACTCAAGTGTTTATCCCAGTGTACTGTATAAAGAATATTAATTAAAATGTTTGCCATGGGGGCACCTGGGTGGCTTCAGACAATTGAGCATCTGACTTCAGCTCAGGTCAGGATCTTGAGGTCCTGGGATTGAGTCCCATATCAAGTAGGGCTCCCTGCTCAGTAGGGAGTCTGCTTCTCCCTCTTTATCCCTCTCCTTCTTTTCCGGCCTCTGCACACACACACTCTCTCTCCATCTCAAATAAATAAATAAAATCTTTAAATAAAAATAAAAAAATTAATTGTTTGCCATGCTGTGGAAAATGTTGGGAAACACTGAACTAGAATACAAACTACTCGAGGACAAGAGAAAAGTTGAATTTACTGCTAATAGCGTATATGTCTGGGAACACTTCTAAGAAACTAGAGAAATGGTAGAGTGTCCGCTAAGCATATTTGGAAGAGTTCAACCCTGGACATCTCCTTCATGCCAGATGGCAAGATCTGCTTGACCTCTGCTAATTAACCTCCCTCTTTACCAATAGTGTTTAACCATCTGAGGCTTCCTACTGGCTAATAATGACTTTGCATCTTGGAAAGATTTAAAAATTTGGGAATGTCTTTCTTCCACAAAAATCTCCAAGGCCAATTTTATGTTTGATTTGTCTAAGCCAAACATTAGATCCTTGACCTCAGTCTTTTCTGTCTGGTTCACTTAAGTTCTTACTTAAAAAAAAACAAAAAAAAACAAAAAAAAAACAACAGTTCTTACTGAGTAGCTACTGCAGATCAAACCCTATACCAAGTCCTTTCCAATATTATTTTACATTGTAAAATATTTTATACAAGATATTTTCTAAATGCCATGATATGTATGTGTCTTTTATGAAAATCTTATAATTTCAGCTCAAACTGAAAAAAATCCTGGGGAATCATTTGATCTGGCTGGTCACTCAGAAGATTATGTCAGTAAAAGGTAATTTATTTTAACATTTTTATATTTTATTGTGTTCAATGATGTTTCTTATAGGAAGAGTTCTGCCTTTTCTTTTTTAGTAGACCAGAATGCATTTATTCAGGCACAGTATTAAGATTTAGGCCTACACTGCAAGCCAGTGACTGGTCTAAGAGTGCTCTACTAGTCAGCAGCACATTCATACCTTGAACTCACACTCTATCCATTTCAAGTTCACAGGCAAATGGAAAGAGGAACATGCAAAAATGAAAGGAGAGAGTACAAGTGTGTTTTTCTAGTAAAGACAAGTTTAAATACACTACAATATGGATGTAAGAAAAGTAGCTTTGTAGTCTTGTATAAAGTACTGATCTTTCTCATTAGATCCTCAGAGTAAAATCTTGTTAACCTTGCATGCTTTACACTTTGGAGCCATAATGTACAGCCTCTCTAAGTTTATCTTAGTCCTTCCGTTTCTTTCTAAGATGGTATCTAAGTATATGAACGAGATGTTCACTGGACTTTGTGACATTGAGGAAAAGGTACTTGAGTCAGTATCTTGGTTAATGCCCTTGTATTGCTGGTCTCATTTCGAGGTGTTCTGTGGCTGCTGACATCTGTGGTTCATGAATATATGGTCTGTTCTCTCTGAACTTGGATTGGGTCCACTCTCAACTCTCATTAGTGTGGTAGAACCCTCTAAGCCTCCCATCATGACCCTCATCTTCCCCTAGACTATCCATACCTCACTCATGCCAGACCTTTGACATAGGCTTCCTCACCCCTCAAATGGCAACCACCTTGGTAAGCCAGTGTCCATGTCCTATGTGAACCAAAGGAAATCTGTAATGAAAACTCTATCTTCTTTCTGCCTATAATCATACCATACCATTGCATTCTGTTAACAAAGCTGGGGCCACCCTATGTTGTCAGGAAGTTGCCTTGCAAAGCACTTTTTCCCCGAATCTCAACAAAGGATATGGCAAATATCTCTCTACTTTTGTATAATACTCACTCTACACAATTTACCTCCTCCACACTCAAAAATCAAAGAAGCATATATATATTCCTGTATTGCTTCCACCCCTGCTTTTACTATTTCCCTCCTACAAGGCTGGAAGGAATTGTCTTATCATGTTGAAAGTGTATGGCTGAGGATTTGGGGTAAATGCTGGCAGTGACCCTGAGGGATCAGGGAGACAAGAACTGACAAACTGAAATCAACTCTATCATTATGTATGCTGAAATTGTGCTCATTTTCAGAAGAAAATCTGCCCCACAGATGGATGATTTTAGCACAGAAGAAAACAAAACCATCAAAAATCATCAATTAAGTGAATACTGTTCTATAAGAAAGAAAAGCTTGCTTCCCTTGTGCTTTGAGGATGAGTTGAAAAAGCCAAATGCCAAGATAATCAACACTAGCCCACCAAAGACAGTAACTTCTCATGTGGTAATAATATCTACTATTGTTCACTAAATATGTGTATAATTACTACTTGTAGGAATCTTAAATTCTAGTGACTGGAATCTTTGATAAATCCTTTTAACTTTTGAGTTTCTCATTGCAAAGTAACAATACTTAGATTCTTAATGCTCTTTTTAGAACTTCCACCCCAAAAGTGGGAATTCCTTTGCATCAACTGTAAGTTTTGTGTTTTTCTTTATGAAGAAGGCTTTATCAATTTTTTTGATTATAAAAGAAAAATGGTATTTTCAAAGTGACTACATTATATTTCACTTTTCTAACTGTCTATTTTAGCTATTTGAACCAGAAAATACATGCATTGAAGGATATTTGATAGCTCACAGAATCTCTAGGAAGGCTGGAGAGACAATCTGGCTTGAAAGCTATACAGTCAGGAGTCACCCAGCTACAACCCCAGACTGCTCCACTGGGACCCATGCTTTTGTTATGGAATTAATGACTTTGATTCTGGGCAGGAGATACTATTTCTAAGATCTTTGCCACTCTTGCTCTTCAAAGCAGATATATCTGCTACCATTGTCACTAGAGTGGTTTTCACAATAGCCAACTTTTCCGAGTGCTTGCTTTCTCTGAACTGAAGACTATCTCAGGTGTATCTGATTGTCAGAGTCTAAGTCACATGCCTATGCCCTAAACTCAAGGGAAGCTAATAAAGCTAGTTTCTGCCTCTGTTTAAGAGTACATAGATTTGTAACGAAGAAAATTTCCAGAGGCGTTGGACAGACCAAAAATATGACAAATCTCTACTACCGAGTTAAATAGGTGATATTGACATCCCAGTGGATTGCAAAACTAGATCTTTCACCATCCTTTTAGTAATTATAGACAACAATATATCTTTCTCACTAAGTATACTGATGTACAATTAGATGATCCTGGTTTCTTACTTCATTAATTATATTTCTAAAGAAAAAGTAGTAATCATTGACTTAAAGTTTGCAAAATAAACACTGGTAATGGGAATATTTGACCAGCTTCTTTGGAGTTAATCTTTTTGCCCTATAATGGAAATATGGGAAAGAGTTGCTATCACTGTGAAAAAATAGTCTATTTTTTTAAGTCAGCCTATTACTCTGGCTATTTTATTCTACAAATATAGAGTGCTTTTTATGTGCTAAGTAAGGGTTGGAGTACTAGAATAAATATAATATTATAAAGATAATTTTTATATTCTTGGAATTATTAGGATATCCAGACTTTGTAATTTTGGTTATAATTAGTTATGTCCCTTAAGATCTTTGGCTCAACTTATTTTTTTGGTATGCTTCTTATTTCTGAACATGGGAACCTAAGAAATGCCAGAACAAAAAAAAAGAAAGAAAGAAAGAAAAGAAAAGAAATACCAGAATAATGTTTCATCCCACCAACTATCCTATTTTCCAATGACAACATCTCACACATCTAAGAAATGTATTGATTTGTTCATATCTCACTTTATTAAAAAAAGATTGTAGGAGGCCAAAAGTTCAGATTTTACCCCTAACATCTCAACAGAATATTAAGAGAAGGAAGTATGTCGTACACAAGTACATCTTTTTTGTGTTTTTCAGTACCATTCTTGTTCATGTTAAAAAAAAATCTCTGTAATCATTTTTAGAATATTTTACCATTTTATTCTCATGTTTAATATATATTATTTATTTATTTATATATATATTTATAATATATAATACATATATTATATAATATAAATATATATATTTAATTATATTATATTATATATAATAATTATATTATTTAATATATAGCCTTCTTGTCGCACTAGCAAGACTAAGTACTCTTTTCTTTAATCCACAGGAACAAAATGACACAAATCCCATAATTTTCCATGAGACTGGATATGTACAAATGTTACTTTTGACGAAAAATAGGTTTCCTCTCCATCGTATGGAAAAAGAAAACATTTACCCATATAAGAGAGCAGATTTTGTTTTAGAAAGAAATTATGAAATCCTCAAATCTTTAATTAGTGATCAATTTATTATATCTTCCAAACCTAAAAGAATTATGCCTACAACATGGAAAAGAGATATACAAGCAATATCTTTTGAAGTGGGCCGTAGAGTTGTAGAGGGTAAACTAAGGAAGAAAACTAATAAGCAGACACTTGAAAACATATCCTGGAGTAAACTCTATAATTTCTCACAGACTTTTTCCAGCCTAACAAAAAAATTTGTTGGCTTCTTTGATAGAAGTGTTATTCAAGAAATGAGTGCTAGACATGGCAACTTTGAAAGAATGTTTTCTACAACAAAACCAAGGAGCAAATTCAGTGCCTCACCTGTCAAACATCGCTCAAAGCCTTTAAAAAATATACTCGAAGTCCATAAATTAAATAATGTAACACCAATGGATGATTTGTTAAACCAGTGAAATGAAAATTAGACACCTCAAAATATATTATATAGAGCAATATTTAAGTAACAAAAAGCAAATAACGAAGTTCCAAGATCATAGATGAAATGCTTACCAAAATAATGTTTGAACGGTTGGTGTAAGAAAGCAAAACATTGACATTGGAACTACAAGCCAACAGTCTTCTGTTCAAGAAAAGCCAACATTTTTAGTAAATAAAAGAACAAAATTAGGAAATAATTATCAACAAGAGAAACTAGTTCATGAATTTTTATGATCTAAATTAGATTCCTCAATCGTCAGCATTCCTATGGTCAAGTCTCATTTGGGACCAAGAATGACACAGACTGTTTCTGGAAATTGGCTGTTTGAAGACAAATAACACCAATAACCTTCCTTAATAATTGGGTATCAGATAAGACAAATGTACCATTAACTTGATGCATGTGGAATTAATTATATATCAGCATTTTGGATAATCATTGGAAAATAGTATTACATTAGCAATTCATGCAATTAAAAAAACAGTAAAATTTAAAATAGCTTTTTGTTAGTAGACACTGGAACTTCATTGCTATAGAATGCCTTTTCCAAGTATAACTTTGACTTTTTTCAGAACTGTTAAATAATTTAAAAGAATAACTTATCCTTAATAAGCTAAAAAAAATTGATTCAAGTCCTATAAAGAATTGAACATCATGTATATTATTATATTGCTATTTTACTGTTTCTCATTCACCCAAACAGTATAAAGGCAGAACTCAAGTTAGATACAAGTTGGATTTCAAAAGTTAATTTTTAATCCATGTATTTAAAAGATTTTTTTAAAAATCTGAACTCTTAATATGTGAGAAGTAGTTTTAATTAGAAGCATTTATGTTAGGGGAAGCCTTTGGGGGCCTTTGGCAACTTAGGCAACTTTGGCAAAGGTAAGGACATAAATTTGTTCAAGTTCCTGTTTCCGCTTCCGATTTTCTTTACCGTGTGCCAAGGCTCCTCTTGCTCACCTCTTCCCAAGGAGGGTTAGGTTTCGGCTCTAAAACAGAATCACCATAGGAGAACATGTGGATGGGGGAGGGGTTGGGGAAGAGGGCTGCAATTGGAAACTCTTAATGAGGGAAGAGCAAAGGTAAAAGTCTTTAGGTAAGATGATGGGCTCAGGTACAGAGGAGGTAGAGGAGGACCATACAAGCTTTCCTGGCTCTTTACACCTTTCTTCTGGTTACTGGAGGAGAAGCAGCAGCAGCTCAAAGTTATGAAGTCATCTTTCTCTTTTCCAGCAAGCAGGGGCTGATCCTCTTGTTCTCTTGGCTTGGTGTCATCCGGTCTTCTCACCAACCCCCACTCCCACCCCATCCCGCTTTTCCCTCCTCCCCGGCTCACTGCAAAGCAAAACAGTTTCCCTAACTACACTGCTGGCTCAGAAAATAAAATGCAAACTCTTTTTAAAAAACTATCAACAATAAAAATAACAAGAAATAGAAAATGTACCTAAAAATATCGGAACAATACCTTATTGTGGTATTATTATTTATCAGTGTTAAAAAAATAATGTGGAGTCCCTGAGTATTTGAGTGTAGCAAACATTCATTAAAAATTCCTTTCCTATTTCCACCCTTTCCCCTGCTCTTAACTTCTTAAAAGATGCCCCCCAAGGTCTCTTACACCATCTTTTCTAAATTAAATGCTGCACCTAACTACAGTATTCAAACTTTAGCCCCAAGTAGATGCAAATTAGAACTAAGGATTTCTGTATTCGTTGTTTTTGGAAGTTTCTGCTGGAACTTGGGAGGTTTATCTTTTAGGAAGGCATTAAATCAACTTAAAAATTCCATTTGGCTGAGAAATCTGGGAGCGGTGAGTTCTGGGAAGGTAATGACCTACGCACAGCACCTTTCTCCTCTACTCTCAGCTTCCATCTGTCATCTTTTAAGCCAAACAGCTGCTGAGATGGTCAGGCAGTGGGGTGCAAGGATAGACATGGTTTCCCTTCTGATGCTGAGATCCCCGTATGGCCCTGGAGACCGGACTCTGTGTCACAAGGCAGTGATGGAGGGTGTGCTGGGTCCTGAGACCAGCTGGCTGTTGGGAGCTCTGCATTACCCGAGGGGAAGATTGTCTTTGGTCCTATGTAAGTGTTTCGGGTCCCATTAGTCCCAAGAGGCCAGGAAGGAAATACTAAGCCTGTGAGAAAACTGGGAAGTCAGAGATCCGTGAATTTTCCCTCAGAAGCCTCACCAGATGACTGTGGTCTGCTTGTTTCTCTAGCTCTGCTCCATAGTGGGTAAGACTTTATTTTCACGGTACTGTGTTCACTAGATACTGCCGTAAACACTCCTGTGCTTCTCGGAGACAACTAAGAAAATAGCAACCCATGTGAAGGGGTCCTGCAAACACTGGGTGTTATACTCAACTAATGAATCATTGAACTATGTCAAAAAATAATGGTGTACTATACAGTGGTTACTGAACATAATTTTATTTTATTTTTTAATTTTTTATTTAATTTAATTTAATTTTTTTTTTGATAGACAGAGATCACAGGTAAGCAGAGAGGCAGGCAGAGAGAGAGGGGGAAGCAGGCTCCCCGCCAAGGAGAGAGCCCGATGCGGGGCTCGATTGCAGGACCCTGGGATCATGACCTGAGCCGAAGGCAGAGGCTTTAACCTACTGAGCCACCCAGGCGCCCCACTGAACATAATTTTTAAAATAAATAAAGGGGCCCTGCAGCAGCCAGTGCCAGCCAGGCAGGACTGTAACAGAGAAAAAAGCAAAATTATGAAAATTGCCAGAGCGGTCTCAGGGTCCTGGGATCGAGCCCCACATCTGGCTCTCTGCTCAGTGGGGAGCCTGCTTCCCCCTTTCTCTGCCTGCCTCTTTGCCTACTTGTAATCTCTGTCTGTCAAATGGATGAATAAAATCTTAAAAAAAAAAAAAAAAGAATGAAAGAAAATTGCCAGAGATTTCATTCAGGGTTGGGGAGGAAGAAGTAAATGGAGTCATTCTGTAGGATTAACAGTGAGAAAAATTATTAGAAAACATAAAGGTGTTTCCTGTTTGCTAACCCTGCTAAATCCAACTCTTTTAGTAACCAGCTGTAAAATAAACAGAATGCACAGAGCTGCTAGAGGAGACAAGGAGTGATTTGCTAAGAAAAATAATACAAACACTTGCGGACATTCAAGTGTAGCACAGTACAGACACACACAGTTGCACACTCACTACATTATTTTCTTTAGGATACTGGTGTGATTTGTTACTACCTTCAGGCATAATCGTGATAGAAGAGTTAATGATTAACTGACTACAATATATCATAAGACTTCCAAATAAAAGAAGAAATGGATTAATATGAAAAAATAAGGAAAATGAAAAAGAACAAATATAAAATAAATCATAAAAATATTGAAATCAAGTATCATTATACTAAATTTATATAGGTTGAATTTTCCATTAAAATACAGAGATTGTTAGACTGAGTTAAAAAATAACACTTAACTATATACTGTTTATAAGAAATATAATTAAAGCAATAAAGAAATCTTGAAAATTAAAGAGTGGGGAAAGAGCTGCCAGACCAATGAAACAAAAAGAAGAGGGAGTGGCATTATTAATATCAGAGAAACTAAAATTTAGGATTAGAAACAATAAGCTGAGGACCTTATACCTTATGTAATAATAAAAGCACAATATATGAAAACAGCATCTTTGGTGCACTATGTATGTGCCAAAGAAGAAAGTGACTAATTTATAAAGTAAAAACTACTGGAAATCTCAGGAGAATATAATAAAAATTTAACAAAAATTAAACTATATTGGGAGACTTCATCTCTTTCAGAGTTAAACAGGTAAAACAAGAAACAAAGTATGGAGGTATAGTAATTACATAATGCAATTAATAAAGTTGATATAATGGATATAGATCTCTGTTTCTTTGAAACAGAGAAAATAAATTCTGAAGTTTATTTATAGAAAATTGATTATATTGTGGGTTACACAAACACCCAATATTCTTTTTTTTAAATAAATGCAGAGACTTTTAAGAATAATCTAGTAACGTTAAGAATAAACATAAAGTGAAATCCAATTTTTTTTTACTATTTGAAAATAAAGAAGGGATGAAGAAGAAATCAAAACTCAAATTATAAGGTAGAAAATGAAAAGGAAACAATTTCATTCCAAAACCTTGTGGCACAAAAGCAGAAGCTACTTCAAAAGAACATGTCAAGTTTTCATTTTTCTCTTCTCCCCCTCCTCCTCCTCTTCTTCTTTCTCCTTCTTCCTGAAAAGGATTTAGTGAAAAGGATCCCAAGGTTCTCATCTCAGGAAATTAGAAAAAGCATAAAATAAACCACAAGAAACTATGAATAGGAAACCAATACCAAAAACCACTAACACTAAAAATACTTAGGTAGAAATAAAAATATAGTATGAAAGGGTAAATAAAAGCAATAGTTATTTTGTGTGTGTGTTTTTAAAATACACTAAAATGCATAAGCCTTCCTCAAGCCTGATTTAAGGGAAAGGAGCAAAAAAGGAATATAAGATTATGAATGAGAAAAGAAACAACCATAGATATAGAAGAAAGGAAAAGAATCAGAAGAAATATTACATATATACTTATGTCAACAAATTTGAAAAATTTAGAAGAATGTGGGTGATCTCCTATCAAAAAGGACATGATCAAAATTGACCTCTAGGAATGGATATTTGGAATAGGTCAATTTCCTAGAAGATAGGAACCGAGACTAGATGAATTCAAAAGTCATTTTTCTTACTTTATGTTTGAAGCCAGTGTGGTAGGCCAAATTCCAAAAATGTCTCCTCAAGATTCACATCCCTTTTTTTTTCAGTCAAACACTACCTTATTATTTTTTTTTAAGATTTTATTTATTTATGTGACAGAGAGAGATCATAAGTAGACAGGCAGGCAGAGATCGGGGAAGCAGGCTCCCTGCCGAGCAGAGAGCCTGATGCAGGCCTTGATCCCAGGACCCTGAGATCATGATCTGAGCTGAAGGCAGAGGCTTAACCCACTGAGCCACCCAGCTGTCCAGTCAAATACTACTTTAGATACTGCTGTGAAAGAACTTTATCGAAGGATTTAAGGTTACTAACCATCTGACCTTAAAATATAGAGAACATTCTGAATTACTTGTGGACCCAATGTAATCACATGACCCCTTAAAACCAGAAGAATGCAAAAGTCAGAGACACAAGGCAGAAGGGAAGGTAAGAAAGATGGGTTAGATGTGGAGGTTGGAGAGGTAAGTTGGTGGCTCAGTCAGTTGAGGATCTGACTCTTGTTTCTGCTCAGGTCATGATCTCATGGGTTGTGAAATTAAAATCCTGTATTGGGTTCCACAAGTGTGCTTGAAGATTGTCTCCCTCTGTCCCTTCCCCCACCTCCCTCCTCTCTCTCTCTCTCTCTTTCTCTCTAATAAATACTAAAAAAAAAAAAAAAAAAGTGGAGCCTGGAGACTTCAAATCTTAAGGGTAAAATTTCAAATCCTTTGTTACAATATTTTAAATTTGTTCACGATCACTCACTCCCTTCCTGCATTTATCA